GCTGCTGGCATTTGAGCCTTGAACATCATTTGAAGATACCAACAAAGTCATTGTGTGTTTTATCCCTTTGATCACACTTCAGCTAGGGCCCCCACAGCCCCACAGGAACAGATATAGGGCAAAAGTCTCTGCCCTTCAAAGGGTTCAGCATAGAACATTCCAAGGCCCCAGGGGAGTCCTGTGTCTTGTTCAATGTCAAGAAGAGTCCACCAACAGACCAATACATGCTTCTTTGTAGCCTCTGTAAAAATCAGATCCCTATGTCTCCCCAGGAAGGTCAGGGTATCTTTTCTAATCATTATATCAGAATCACTGGAAATTCTGAAGAAACAGAATGCTCCCTACCTCTTTCTTTGAATTTCTTGGAAAATAAGATATGCAAAAATCACATCCAGGGGCCCTGTACAACTGGCCAGATCCCTTCCAACCAAAAGGAAATCCCAGCCAGAAGAGACCACAACCTGGAGCACTTTGCAAATTGCCTGCACACCCTTCACATGTCCCTTCAAGTCATCCAAATAGATTTTTAGATGGACATCTCTTAGCACATTCTAACTGCCCCCTTGCTATTCTTTTGGAGGCTTCCATGTGGAATACAAGCATTCACTGAGCCTAGATTTATTCCAGAAGGCTCTTAGCCACCTCTTGTTTAGAGCAGCGATGCCCTTAGCAACACAGCCTTATACTCCCTGGACTTCTGGGTTAGTAGTCCAAGTTCCTCCTAAACCCCAGTCTTCTCTCTCTATGCACAGCTTTGTGTAGAAGGAGGACAGACAGATCCTTGATTAAATATATTCAGACTGCCCCAGACCTGGAGCTTGATGGGCTACGCAGCTGGTGCTGCAGCCCTGGTGGAAGGGTCAGCTGCCATTCTTCCAAAATAAATCTCCAGTTGCTGGTCTCCTTCCTTTCAGCAGGCACACAGGGGAAAAGATATCTCATGGGCCATGCTGCACTGTTCTGGCTCTAACACCACCAGTGATCATCTTTCCTTCCTTTCTAGACAATGAGGACTATAAATACACATGCAAAATTTTTCTGTTGCCATTTAAAATAATCTTCATGAAACTATTTTTATGAAATGTAAAAATGCTTCTGATATAAGTAAATGGGATTAAAGCAGGATACCTGATCGTAGACACAGGAAGACCTCAGCTTCATAAACTCTTTACATTTATTCACAGAAAAAAATACAGGAAGGAAATACACCACAATGGGTTTCTAACTGGATTAAAGGTAACTGTGTATTTTCTTCTTTAAGTGTTTTAGTATTTCACAAAAGAAAATACATATTATATGCATTGATTATTTTGTAATCTAACAAGAAAGGATACTTTCCTATTAGCTGGGACTTCTGAAATAGTCATCACTGATTTTATACCTAGCCCTGAAGGAAACAAACACAAGGCTTTTACTTCTTCTCAAAGTGACTTTTAAGTGGAACAATCCTCCTAGCTGAATTTTCTAGACAGGATACAGATTTTAGCTTTGACAAAACTGCTTTGCTTGTAATCTGTTTTTTTTTCTTGGGTGAAGCTTGACATTTGCAAATAGCCCCATTAGAACCTTGAATCAAAGTGCCCTACTCTATTTTTTTCTCCTGGTTACCAGGCCTGAGAACTCCCAAAGGAATTTCCAAAGTACAAGGCTTTGAAGCCCACCTGAAACTGGGCTCAAGGGAGACAGAGGCCCAATGGATGCTGACTTTGTGCATCAAAGTATGATGACAGGAACATTGCCTTTGAAGAAGAATGGCTCCGGAGCCTTGAGCATTTTCTCTGCAAAACTGATGATCATATTTCTTTTATATAGATTATAAAGATTTAAAGAGACAATGTATGGAGGATGCCTAACAGCGTACACAATTAATTATTAATATAAGTGTGGTGGGCACTGGAGAAAGCAGCAGAGGGGAACATCTGCTATTGCTACTTTCCATTCTCTCACTTGAAGTTTTCCAGTGTGTGAGGTGAGGATGGCAGTGGCAGAGCTGTCTAGATTTCGGCCCCACCCTAACTGGGCTGGCCCTGACTAAGGACACATCTTTGATTTCACCATGGAAATGTAACCATGTCTAGGGTGGAGGGCAGGCAGTGCTAGCCACTGGCTGGCAGCCCTAGAATGTCCATGGATAATACTGACTAAATATAAGACTCCATTACCACTCCAAAATCACCGTATTAGCAATCCACAGTGCCTCTTCCTCCACTCCTGGCTGCTCTGCCCTTTATTCATGGGGCAGCAGCCAGTATGCCAAAGACTTATGGGAACTAAAGGACTCAAGCTGTATCTTATAATGGATTGAAAGGGTCCATTTTTGCTGTACAACAATTTTATCTGCCGCTGTTACTGCTAGTATTGCTATTAGCACCACCATTCCTCCAACTGCTGCCACTACTCTATTAATCCTTTAAGTTTGTAAACTACTTTTTACAAAGTGCCTCTGTAACCTGGGTTTTTCCTGATCAAAGATGAAACTGGGCATGGCATTATGAGAAGACAGAGGTAGGCTAATACTAGGAACTTCAGAGGGAACAGAGAGATCTGCATTTAAGAATAGAGCAGAATTGCCAGTATTTATTTTCACTCCCCACTGCCTGGGCCTCAGACACATTCACCATCCCTTGCCACACCCAGTCACACTCCCACCCCTACCCTGCTCTAACTGTCCATAGACAGTTTCCGCAACCTCACACATTAGGAACTAGGAGGAACTGCCCTTTATTTGATCGGAGAAGGTTGGCCACGCCAAAATCTCACCAAATGGGGCAAGAGAAGAGGAGAGAATGCTTTTCAAATTGCCTTTGCCAACCTCTCCCACCTTCTCACAGGAAGGCCTTGGCAAGAGCCAGACTCTTCCTTTTTTAGAGACTTTAAATTTTCCTGCGCCTAAATTAAAAATTTTAAAAATGCCTGATTTTGGCCCTTATCCTCAAAGTTGGATAAGGCATGTACTGGAATTCCTTACTGCTGGAATGTACACCTTTTTTGCCCAAGAGAAGGGCCCCCTTTTCCTTCACCCCTAGCAGCCAGCTGGCGTGGGGGCTGATGCTACACATAGCGGGAAAGGGGCAGGGAGGAGAGTGAGAACGCAGCCTAGTTCAAGCCCAGCCATGAAGCAGGTTTCGTTTGAGACTGTGGTCTTCACCTGGCAACCGGGAGCCCCAGCATAGCTCAGAGAGAAGAAAGTGGCATTCTGGAATCCATTTTGCTCAAGATGCTGAAGGCACGGTGTCTAACTCCCCTTTGCTACTGGGGCCAAAAAACTTGGTGAAGACCTTACCTACAGGGAGGTGGTTAGTTGGGGAAAAGGAGAGGACCAGTCCTTGGTGCCAGTGCTACCTGAGAGTGGACAGGTGCGTGGCTTCCCTTGGGATCATCCCGCAGGAAAAAGCTGGGCTAGTGGTGGGTGCGGGGGCCCACCCCGGGCGCTACTTCCGCATTTTGGACCCAGGTCCACTGGTGAGCAGTAGCAGTAGCAGCCATCGCCAGGCCAGCTGGGTCCCCTTCTATCTATCCAGTCATTTATAGGTGAGATTTACGATGTATGCAAGCGAAGGGACGAGAGATGACTATGGCCTTTGGAAGGTATAATCCTGAAAGTCACACTTTTTCCAAAGCGCCTCCCTCCCGGGCTCTCCTCCCCAGAGCAGCACAGTCACAGCAGGGGAATCTGCACCGCTGGCGCGCCGCAGTGGTCCGCGGAGGGACGGGGGACCAAGGGGCGGGAGGCGGAGGGCGGGGGACGCGAGGCGGCTCACCTGCCAGGCTGTTGTAACAGTCGATCTCGATGGCTTCCACCGTTTTGCTCTGCTCCTCCGAGAGGCGGCCGGGCTTGGGGCCCCCGGCAGGGGAGGCCGTGCGCGAGTCGCGCTCCCGTTCCCCGGGGGGCGGCAGCAGCCCCTTCAGCTCCAGCAACGCCCGGTGGTATTTGCCGATGGCTTCACGGAATTTCTTGTCTTTGTAGCACTGCGCCCCTTGGCTTTTGAACTCGTGCGCTCGCCGGATGAGCTCGGCCGGCTCGGCCGCCGCCCCGACCTGGCCCCGCGCCGGGGCTCCACCGCCGCCTCCCGGGACGCTCAGCGGCGGCGGTGGCCGCTGCCCCTCTCCGGCCGCAGGCGGGCTTGGGTTCCCCTTGGCCCCGGCCGCCGAACCCTTCCTCTCCATCCGGCCGCCGCCCGGGCGCCTGGCGCGCGCCGCGATCTGCCCGCCGCCGCCGCCGCCGCCGCGCCTTCCCGGGTTTAAAAGCCGCGGGCACCGGCCCCGCGCCTCGCAGGCTTGGTGGCGGCCGTGACACCCCGCGGCGGTCTGGCGCCCCGCACTCCCATTCTCCCCGCTGCTGCCAGAGGCTGCTCCCGCCGCCGCCGCCGCCGCCGCCGCCTGGGACGCCGGCCCCTCCCCCCACCTCCCCGCGCCGCTCCGCCCGCTCCCGCCCTCCTCGCTCCGCAACCTGCTGGCGGCGGGGCGTGTGCTCGTGGGCCGGGGGCTAGCGCTGCTGGGGGACCGCGGCTCTGAGTGGGGTGGCGGGGATGGTCGCTGACCCGGAAGAAGCTTGGCTCGCCCGAAGGAGGGGAGGATTAATGACAAAGACGGCCCCGCTCTTTCCCTTTCAATCCCGCTCTCCGAGGCGCGCGGAGTCCGAAAGGGAGGGGGTAGGTGTAGGGGGAAGGGGAGTGAGTGAGTGAGTGTGTGTGTGTGTGTGTGTGTGTGTGTGTGTGTACGGATGGGGGCGGCGGCGACGAAATGCGTGCAGAAATAGATTTCTTAAAAACTACAAGGAAAGGTGCGGCGGGGAATAAGGGGCGCAGGCGCAAGCCGGGGCTTCTAGTTCTTTGCAGTAAGATGTTAATATTTTTAAGGGGGCAGGGCCTCCTTTTTGTGGATCCAGGTTGTCGCTGAGGTGTGTCTCGGTGTGTGTGGCGGCCGGGGCGTCCAGAACGCGGCGTGCTGTACAGCGTGTGGGGCGCCGTATTCTGGGAGCCTGGGTGTGCGTACGCTGTGTGTGCGCAGCTGTGCAGAATGAATCACAGACATCAGAGATGGAGCACCTGTTACTGTGGGTCATCGGCTTGGCGTGCGTCCGGTCTAGTTTCCATTTACAGGACAGTTCTGTGCCCTTCCTCAGGAGGTCCCATTCTTTCGGTAAATTCTGAGTGTCAGCTGTTTACCGGGAATTTGCTAAGGCTAAGAGGCAGAGAGGCAAGCCATTCCCCTGCCCTCAAGAAACTCCCAGTCTACAGGCGAAGAGACGCCTCCCACCAGTGCAGTAGCTGGACCAGGTACAGATGGTGCCTGTCACTGCGGAGGAACAAAAAGTCCTGTGCAGCCCTGAGGAGGGGAGGGAGAGGTCGCTTTTTGAGTAGTGGTAGATTAGGAGGCTTTATGGAGAAGATAGCATTTGAGGACCTTGAAGGTTGGGTAGGATTTGGCCTGAGGAAATAGAAGAAAGTGGGATAGCCAGAGTTTGGATTTGATTTTGTGGGCAATGGAGAAGCTGAGATTTCAAACATCAGGACAATCTCAGGTGTGTTTAGGGCATAGAGGTTTGATATTATGTCCTAATGAGAAGTAGTGGGAAATGATGGGGTTGGATTATAGAGGCTTTTGCACGAAGAGTTTGGATTTGATTTTGTGGGCAATGGAGAAGCCTGACATTTTTTTAGTGCCCTCCCCTCTAAGATGTTAAGGAAAAAATATTCTAGACCACAGGTTGTCAGAGTGCTGTTCCCAGACCCGCAGTGTCAGCATCACCTGGGAAACAGTTAGAAATGCAAATCCCATGATCCTACTCCAGACCTACCAAATCAGAAACTCTGGGGGTGGGTCCCAGTTAACCAGTATATTGGTTCAGACATGCTCCTTTAAAACCTTGCCACTCAAAGTGTAGACCTGGGACCACTATCATCAGCATCACAGGAGAATCTGTCAGAAATGCAGAATCTGCAAAATCCCACACCTACTGATCCAGAAGCTGCATTTTAACGAGCATACCAGGTGATTTGTTTACCGATTAAAGTGTGAGAAACACTGCTCTAGAGATTTTGGAAAATACAGTAAGGTATAAAGAATCCCCCAATCTACACCCAGTTGTAGTCTTTGTTAATATTTTGATGGAATTCCTACCAGTTGTTTTCTAGGCATCTATATTTGTACAAGTGCTCTTTTAGCAAACATAAGTGGTATGGAACAATATACACAATTTGTTTACTGCTTTTTTTTTTTTTTTGAGTTAGGGTATTTCTCTGTTGCCCAGGCTGGAGTGCTGTGGCATGATAATTGCTTACTGCAGCCTCGAACTCCTGGGCTAAAGGGATCCTCTCATCTCTCACCTTAGTCTCCTGAGCGGTTGTGACTATAGGTGCACACCATCGTCCCTGGTTAATTATATTTTGTACAGACACTGTCTTGCGCTGTTCCCCAGGCTTGCTTCCCATGCTTTTTACTTTACATTGTATGTAATTAATTATTCTTTTAAAGCCTCATTTTTGATAGCTGTACATTATTCCATTGTAAGAAGCCGGGTGCAGTGGCTCATGCCTGTAATCTCAGCACTTTGGGAGGCAGATGTGGGTGGATCACCTGAGACCAGGAGTTCAAGACCAGCCTGGCCAACATGGTGAAACCCCATCTCTACTAAAAATACAAAAATTAGCCAGGCAAGGTAGTAGGTGCCTGTAATCTTGGCTACTTGGGAGGCTAAGCAGGAGAATCACTTGAACCTGGGAGACAGGTTGCAGTGAGCCGAGATCACGCCATTGCAGTCTAACCTGGACCACAGGGGGAGACTCCATCTCAAAAAAAAAAAAAATTCCATTGTAAGGTCTATTATAGTGTATTTAAGCATTCTTCTAGAGTCAGACAGATTTTGCTATTATAAACAATACTGAGATAAAAATAATAGATACCACCTACATATGTATTTACATTGTGCCAGGCATTGGGTTAAGCACTTTACATATAATAATCTATTGAAATCTCATAATAACTTAGTGAAATCAGTATTATTGTTATCCTCATTTTAGATACCAAGTCACAGAGACTTGCCTGAGATTATACTGCTAATGAGTAGTGGAGCTGGGACTTAAACCCAAGAAATCTGGCTCCAGAATCTATGCTCTTAACTGTCTTTATACTTAAATTTTTGTCCTATTCTTTCTTAAAAAAGTATTTCAAGTTTTAATAAAGTCTTGAAACACATTGTCAACTTGCTTTTCAGAAACGTTGTACTGAGTTGCGCTCCGATCAGCAATGTGCTAGTTTCACTGCCTCCTTGCCAACATCAAGGGTGAGCTCTTAAAAAATGTTTTTCTAATTTGATAAATTAAAAATGCTATAGAATTAACTGAGATATCTCTATAAAGGTGAACATTTTTCACATATACACTTGTCATTTATAGAGAACTGAGGGCTTTTAGTTGGACGTAATTTTAGCATGCTAAATTACATATTATATTTTATCTTTCTTTGCTTTCCTAAATGCTTTGACATCTTTCATCTCATTTGATCCTGACATTATCCCCAGAGAGGGTAGGTGATTCTCTGCTCACACAGTGTGCTTGCAGTGGTATCTTATTATTATTATTATTATTATTTTTTTGAGACAGAGTTTCGCTCTTGTTACCCAGGCTGGAATGCAATGGCACGATCTCGGCTCACCGCAACCTCCACCTCCCAGGTTCAGGCAATTCTCCTGCCTCAGCCTCCTGAGTAGCTGGGATTACAGGCACGCGCTACCATGCCCAGCTAATTTTTTGTATTTTTAGTAGAGACGGGGTTTCACCATGTTGACCAGGATGGTCTCGATCTCTTGACCTCGTGATCCACCTGCCTCGGCCTCCCACAGTGCTGGGATTACAGGCTTGAGCCACCGCGCCCGGCATACAGTGGTATCTTATAAGTGAGACATCATATAAGTTCAGTGGTTAAGAGATTCTAGACTCAGACAAGTGTTAGCTGGAATACTGTCTTTACTATTTCCTGGGCAAGTTATTCAACTTATGAAAACTTCAAATTTCCTCATTCATGAAATGGGAATACTACTTACTTCATAGGGTTGTTGTGAAGCACATCATAAGTGCTTGATAGATGGCAACTTTAATTATTGCTCATTAATCCTGTCATTATTGGATTCCATAAGAATGTTGTGACAGAACTTCAGTTAATCCATAAATATTAGCAAACCGCAGGACCTTTTTACTTTAAGGTATTGCATCAGGTAGAGCAAAGAGAAAAAATTGGAGGCTGGGCACTCTGAAATTTTGTTGTTGCCAGTCCTTAAAATAACTTAGATAAGACAGGCTACAGGAGGCAAACATTGGATAAAGATCCAGGCCTGGGATTTGGCTCCTGTCAGAAATAAGACATGAATTGGGTCACAGTGGTGGCAACCATTTCAAGGTAAGAAATACTGACACGCCAAATTGCTTTTTATTTTCCCACTGTGTGCTGGCTTAATGGTGCAGTACCTCACTCTTAGATTTTGGATTTGAGGACAAGGCTATGAGAAACATGTAAGCTATGCAATACTACCCTGTGTATGAAGCAGAACGCAATACAAGAGCTTAGTAGTAGCTCCGATAAAGGCGAGCATGAATGCGGAAGGGAGGGAATATTAGGAGGGGTTGTATAGAGTGAGAGGAGAATTACTATGCCCATCTGTCCCGCTCCACAGAGTTGTGTGTGTATGTCTAGAAGTATTCTGTTTGCTTGTTGTCAGTATGCTTCTGTCTCTGTTTAAGCCACTCACTGGTAAACGTGTTTTGGCTTCCCAGAAATGGTTTTCTCCCTTCGAATGGAATTAAATAAATGCCAACAAGAATTTCTTAAACATTCTTTCATTAACCATTGGCCATATGCAGAGCACTATTTTAGAAGGTGAGAAAAGACCCAAATGACAGAAAATTGAAGATGAACTTAAGATCAGAAACTCACTGCTTTTCCACATGATTATAGCAGCACATTTCACAATTGCAAAGATAGGGAAGCAACCTATGTGCCCGTTGACTAATGAGTAGATAAATAAAATGTGATATAATATACACCATGGAATACTGCTAGGCCATTAAAAGAAACGAAACAATGTCTTTTGCAGCAACTTGGATGGAGCTGGAGGCCATTACTCTGAGTGACATAAGAGTGGAAAACCAAATGTTCTCATATATAAGTGGGAGCTAAGCTTTGAGTACACAAAGGCATACAGAGTAGTATAATGGACTTTAGAGACTCAGAATGGGGAGAGTGGGGAGGACCTAGGGATAAAAAAAATCTATACATTAGGTACAATGTACACTACTTGGGTGATGGGTGCACTAAAAATCTCAGAATTCATCACTATATAATTCATGTAACAAAAAATCACTTGTGCCCCAAAAGCTATTGAAATTAAAAAATACAAAAAATATAAAAAACAATATCAGTGCTTCTCAAACTTTAATGTATATATGAATTGCTTGGAGAGCTCATTAAAGTGCAGTTTTCTGACTGTTAATTTAGGCTGGGGCCCAAGATTATGTTTCTAACAAGCTGTCAGGTGCTGCTGATATTGCTGGTCCATGGCCCACATTTTGAGGAGCAAGTGTTTAGAGGGAAGGGAGGTTCAATATCTTCCCTTCTTTCCTAATATTCGCCTTTTCCTGGAAAAGAGTAATTTACAGATTGGCCAGATTCTAGGGAATGAGTTGATCTGTGTTTAACATGAACAGAAATATGAACCTCCATTCAGCTTTCTCTTAATGCAGCAGGAATAGGTAAGCTGAATCAGGGCCTTCCCTTGGGATCTGGCCATGTTTTCTCTTCCTCAAATGCATAGCTAAGTGTACATTTTTTGTCTGCATCTTGTCTAATGTGGCAGGATGAAAAGTGAGTAAGGTTTTGATATGTCATGGGGAGAGGAAGGCCCTTGTAAGCCTTTAGTATAGGCTCTAACTTTGTTTTGTTTGTTTTTGTTTGTTTGTTTGTTTGTTGGAGACTGAGTCTTGCTCTGTCGCCCAGGTTGGAGTGCAGTGGCATGATCTTGGCTCACTACAACCTCTGCCTCTCTGGTTCAAGCAATTCTTATGCCTCAGCCTCCTGAATAGCTGGGATTACAGATGCATGCCACCATGCACAGCTAATTTTTGTACTTTTAGTAGAGACAGGGTTTCACTATGTTGGCCAGGCTGGTCTCGATCTTCTGACCTCAATTGATATGCCCACCTTGGCCTCCCAAAGTGCTGGGATTACAGGCGCACCTGGCCTCTAACTTTGTTTTTAAAGGAGAGTTTTACATTAAGGAATTGGGCTTTATTCAGGTAACTATAAAGTGTTGTTTTAATTTCTCATCTGTCAGTGGCACGAGCGTATATGGATTCTTCATGAACCTCACGAAGGAGAAAGATGACTGGGCCACACAGCAAGTTTCTAGTACTCATGGTACTTTGGCCCAATGTCATCAAAACCTATCTCTTGTTTCCGAACAAGCTAGCCTTGAACACACACCAGTGAATTCTGTGGATGCTCACACCACTAGCGGAATAGCTCATTACTGCTGAGATAATGCTGGAAGATTTCCTAGAGAAGTGTGTGGAACGGTTTTGAAGGAAAGGCCTTTGCATGGTAAACGTTAGAAGGCACAACATTCCTTTACAGGCTTTAGGCATTATGTCTGCCCCAGGTCGGATCTTGTTTCTGACTCTTGGAGTCCTTGACTCTTCTGCTACCCACTGGTCTTGGAAGACTGGAGCCGCCTTTCTCTCCACACTCACTCTGGAGCTTGCATACTTTCGAAACAGATGGCTTGTGCTGCTTTGTCTCTTCCTTCAGCTCAATTTCTTGAGCATATGTGAGACATGTATTTGAATATCTTTTGTACTAAGCTAAGCTCTTCAGGGTTTGGTCACATGACAGCCAAATCAAAGCTATTTTGGGGATGTTTTTCTAATTGCATCAAATTTTACAATTTACCTGACAAAATTATATTATCAGATGTTATCCATATTCAAATCTTCAAATATCCCTCTGAGAGAAAGCAGGAGATTTTTGAGTTTTTCATGTCCAGATGTAGCTAATGTGATATTCATATTTTCATTCATTCTACCTTCTGCCTGCAACCCCAGCCCAACAATAAATTTTTCTATGATTCCAGAGCTTGGTTCGGCCTGACATTATTTAGAAAAATACGGCCTCTCTACCTATCTGTACTGTCTCCTACCACCCAATCCATTTGCTGACTGCCTCATCTCCAATATCAATTGAAACCCTCTTTGGGGCCGTGATATCATTTATTTGGATCAGCTACCAGCCTTCCTTAGGACACTCTTCTTTCCCCTATTCCATCATGGTGTCCTCTAGCACTCTGCATTGTCCCGTTACCCCCCACTTGCTAGTACCTATTCCAGTCTTGAGCCCATCATATTATTCTATCTTCCTACACCATAGTGATTGCTTTAAGGGAGGAGCACAAGGACCAAATAGAGACAATCAGAGTTTTCTCTGAGATTTATATATAGACTTTGGAAGACAGAAATTCTTTTCTCTATTCTTTTATACTCACTAAAATATAGTTTATGGCTGGGCGCAGTGGTTCATGCCTGTAATCCCAGCACTTTGGGAGGCCAAGGTGGGCAGATCACGAGGTCAGGAGTTGGAGACCAGCCTGGCCAACATGGTGAAACCCCATCTCTACTAAAAATACGACAATTAGCCGAGCACCGTGGTGGGTGCCTGTAATCTCAGCTACGCTGGAGGCTGAGGCAAGAGAATTGTTTGAACCAAGAGGGCGGAGGTCACGGTGAGCCGAGTTGCTACTGCACTCTAGCCTGGGTGACAGAGCGAGACTCTGTCTCAAAACAAACATAGTTTATTAATTTATTCTTAACTTTGTATTATGGACAAATTTAAACATATAAAAAAAGAGTAGCAGAATGAATCTTTAAGAACCCATCACCAAGCTTACACAGTTATCAACAACCAATATTTCTTGCTATACGTTCAGTTTTCCAGATGTGCTATTCTTGTGTCTCTGTACCTTTGTACTTACCATTTCCTATGTGTTTCATGTTTCTGTATTTCTCATTTGCTTGCTCTTAGAATATTAGGTCTTCCAGTCAGTCACCCAGATTTGCCTAAAGACCTGACACAAATGTCACTTCCACTATGAAGTCCCACTGACTTTTATATATAAGGTTTGTGTTCCTTCTGCTATGATCTGGTAGCTCCTTTTTCATGCTTTTATACTGCATTGCACTTATTTATTCAACATCCATTCAACAAACTTCTAAACTTTTATTAAACTATTTCACTGTTTTAGGTGTTGAGGATCAATGAATAAAAAAGGCAAAAATTGTCACCTTCGTAGAATGAGGGGAGACTTAAACATTACAAACAAGCAAATTACGTGGGTTGTTAGAACATGATAATTGCAGTGGAAAAAGAGTTTAAGTGAAATTGGGTGTGTGTGTCTTCACATTTTTAATAAAGAAAATAAGATAAGCCACACTCATTACACTGCATAATGGTTATTTACTTCCTTTTTTATCTCCACAACTAGACTGCAGCTATTTGAAAGCAGAGGTTGTGTCTTATTCTTTTTGCAGCCAAGCACCTAGTATATATGTTAGCAGGCATTCTATAATCATTGTGGAATAAATGGAAAAAACGGAAGAGTACAAGACACCAACTCTAAAAACTCTTGGTGTCAAGGAAGGGTTTTTTGTTTTGTTTTGTTTGTTTTTGAGATGGGATTTCACCCTATTACCCCAGGCTGCAGTGCAGGGGCGCCATCACTGCAAACTTTGCCTCGTGGGTTCAAGTGGTCCTCCACCTCAGCATCCCAAGTAGTTGTGATTACAGGCATGTGCCAGTATGCCTGGCTAATTTTTCTATTTTTAGTAGAGATGGGGTTTTGTCATGTTGGCCAGGCTGGTCTCAAAGTGACCTGCCTGCTTCGGCCTCCCAAAGCTCTGGGATTACAGGTGTGAGCCATCGTNTTCAGTAGAGACAGGGTTTCACCATGTTGACCAGGATGGTCTCGATCTCTTGACCTCGTGATCCACCCGCCTCGGCCTCCCAAAGTGCTGGGATTACAGGCGTGAGCCACCGCGCCCAGCCAAAATTTTAACTTTTAATAATAGATTTTTATATATTTTATGGTAGTAAATGATAAAATAGACTAGTGTTTATATATACTTATGCAATCATGACAGACCTTTTTTTTAAAAATATTTCTAGGCTATGTAATTTGTCTGCAGTTTTTGTAGATCTCCAAAAAATTTTCCAATATACTTATTGAAAAAATCTGCATATAAGTGGATCCATGCAGTTTATTATAGTTTATTTTTTGAGTGGTGCCATCTTGGCTCACTGCTGCCTCCTCCTCCTGGGCTCAAGCAATCCTCCCACCTCAGCCTCCCAAGTAGCTGGGACTACGGGTGTGTGCCACCACTAATTTTTGTGGAGGTTTTTTCGTTTTGTAGAGATAAGGTTTTGCCATGTTGCTGAGGCTAGTCTCAACTCTTGGGCTCAAGTGATCGCCTACCACAGCCTTCCTAAGTGCTAGGATTACAGGTGTGAGCTGCCACACCTGATTTCTATGCAGCTTAAGCCTGTCTTGTTCAAGGGTTAACGGTATTCTGTTGGTTACACCAACTAAATCTGATGCAAGTGGTAGACCACATAGCTTGTGAATACCAGGTGGTGAGAAATACTGAGGAGACACTTTAGAGGCTGGCTACCTAAAAGTGAAGGAAGCATTGTATTTTGTATTGCACTTAGCCATATGCTAGAGCCTAAGAAGCCATTCGTGTTATATCAAAAGAAAAAATAAAGTAAGTTGACCATTGATCACAATAATGTATACAACACACATTTTTATTATAAAGGTCAAGATATTGAAAGGAATTTAGAGCTCAAAGCTCTTTAGGTTTTTCAATTTTCTATAAATTTAACTCTACTTTTAAAGTATAGGAACATTTTTAAGATGGTAAAATATCACTGGCTCCTGGAACATTTCTTTGAAGCTACTCTGATGACAGGAAGGGTACATAAGATTTTGCTGTCAATCACTACCTTAAGTTTCCTTAGTTTTTTTTTTTTTTTTTTTTTTTTTTTTTTTATTTTTTTTTTTTTTTTTTTTTTTTTTTTTAAGGATAGTACAGGTACATGGGAAAAAATTCAAACAGTACTCTATATAATTGAATGTATATTAAAAATACTATGTTTTTCCTTCTCCCCAGCCTCCAGCCTTCCAAAATCCTTCCCAATGGCATTCACTGTTAACTTGTTTTTTATGTACCACTCCAGAGTTAATCTGTCTCTCTAGCTTTCAGTGTAATACATCTTCAATTACAAGTATTATCTTGGAAATCAGTATATAGAACTGCTACATTTTAAAACATAGCTGTATAATATGTGTATGAGTACATCAGAATGTTTTTCATCAGGCCTCAGTTAATGGGATTTAAGTAGTAACAAAGGTGTTTTGATAAACCACTTAACTAATGGAAAAGTTAGGTTGCAGTGTGAATCTGTTGCATCACATCTTCATATTTAACTAAGGCAGTAGCTTACCTGTCAGGGAGAAGGCTAGTCACCACACCTCTGTGTATATCATTTAATTTCACCTTGTACCCATGAGGTTGTTATTATGATGCTCAACTTAGAAGAAGCCTGAGGTTTTCAGAGGTTCAGTAATTTTGCCCAAGGTAGCACACCTTGAAAACAGGTCTACCTGACTCCATGCTTTTTGGCTTCCTTAGAATTTTTAGTATTCCTGCAATAAAGAGGATCTCTGCGGAATGCCTGGTGGATGTTCCTGGATGATCTTTGATTCTTTCCAATCCGAAGATGCTCCAGCACTGTACCACCCCCTGCTGTCCATTCCCTGTCTTTTTCTGTTGGCTTTATGTCCTAGGAGGTTGACCTCTGCACCAGCTGGGCTCTTTGCCCTCTCACTGAGGGTTAGCTTTGGCAAAAGGGAGGCACCAACATGAGACTGGAGGATGAAAGAAGAGAGATTAACATTTTTTTTTCCTACTTCCTCCCTGCTTTGGCACCAGAGTTTCAGCAGTGGTCAATTTGTATCACTATTATAACTAGGGGGAGGTGGGCTTCCTCCTTGAGTCTACCTCTTAATGGATTCTAGTAATACAATTTCCCTCCCCTCCTCTCCCCTCCCCTCCCCTCTCTTTCCTTGCCTTCCCTTTCCTTTCCTTCCCACCTTCTTTTTCTTTTCTTTTTTTTGCCTAAATATCTTCCCTCTCTTGCTAGTCTCTGGATACTTCAACATTCTTTCTTGATTTCTTTAACCATGCCCACACGTCTATAAATAGTCTTTGTATTAAAAGTCTCTTCAGATAAACCATTCATTAGTTAGATTTTGTCTTCTGTCATAATCCTATTATAAATATATTTTAAGATATAATCCCTTACAGGAGAATTTTAAAGAACTGATGCTATAAGGTTCAATGAAATTAATCTCTAATGATAAATTTCAGGCTAATTAAGGGTAATTGGAACTTTTTGCTCTCAAATTCTATCTACTTAGCAGCAGCCTATTTGGCCAAGTGCTAAGATCAGCTCTGCTGTTGGTTGTATGTAGATTTTTTTGGTCATTGTCTTGCTCCTTATAATTTTATATGAATCTCTGACACTGTAACCTTGGATTTCCGTTAGCAGGCATTTAACATTTTAGCAGTCTTTTTTGAATCCCCCAACCCTGCCAATCACACTACTTTTTTTTCCTACAGAATTGCTAAAGAGATATATTAGTTATCTGTTGCTGTGTAACACATTACCTCAAAACTTAGCAGCTTAAAATACCATTTATTGTTTTCCAACAATCTCACAGTTCTTGTGGGAGTCTCTTAGTTGTGTAGTTCTGGCTAAAGTTATTTTAAGATGTTGCAGTCCAGCTGTTGGCCAGGACTAACATTATCTGAAGCCTCCACTGGAAGAGATTCCAGCTCCAAGCTCAGTCACATAATTATTGGCAAGCCTCTGTTCCTTGCTGGCTGTTGGCTGAACATCTTGGCATCTTGATGATCTTCTGCATCACAGGCCCTGAGTGTCCTCACAATATGGTATCCAGGTTCCCCCAGAAAAAGAGATCTAAGAGAGCCATAATCTTTTAAAACCAAGTCTTGGAAGTGACATGTCATCACTTCTGATGTACAGTTGACCTTTGAAGAATTGGGAAGTGGGGTTAAGTGTGCCAACCCTGGTACAGTCAAAAATCCTCGTATAATGTTTGACTCCCCCAAAACTTAACTAAGAGACTACTGTTGACTGGAAGCTTTATGATAACACATAGATAGTTGATTAACACATATTTTGTGTTATATGTTTTATAGACTATAAGCTACAGAAAAGAGAATGTTATTAAGAAAATCGTAAGAAAGAGAAAATATATTTACTATTCATTAAGTAGAAGTGGATTATCATAAAGGCTTTTATCCTTATCATCTTCATACTGAGTAAGCTGAGGAGGAAGAAGATAAAGAGGTGTTGGTCTTGCCGTCTCAGGGGTGGCAGAGGAGGAAGTGGTAGAGGAGGTGGAAGGGAGTACAGGTATTGATTGACCTACAACCTATGCAACTTACGACCATTCGACTTTACGACCACAATCGCTAGCCACAACTGCTCCACGTCTGGCAGCACAAACATTGCCCAGCTGGGCATACGACAGTGTGGACCAGCTTCTGGCAGCACTACCATCTCTGCGTGCATATAGCCTACTCAACTTATGACCAAATCGTGTTACGACCGGTCTGTCGGAACCAATCGTGGTCATAAGTCGAGCACTAGCTGTAGGGAGAGGCAGACACACTTGGTGTCACTCTATGGAAATACATCATAATTTTTATCTGACCTTTTTGCTTTTCTGTTTCTCTAAAAATGTTTCCATGTGGCTCCAAATCCTTCTTCCACTATTTGCTTTAGTTTCAGTGCCTCTATCATGGAAGGGTCCATGTGGTGAAAGAAGTCGAAGACAGCCTTGAATAATTGGAAATCTGCCAGATTTTCTATTGTCAGTTTATCTTCTGGCCCTGCTGCTTCTACTGTGTCTTCTTCTTCATCGTCTAGCACTGGTTTGGAAGCATTCAGTTCCATCAGGTCATCTTTTATTAATTCCTCTGGTTTGGTATTAATAGCTCTTGAATTTCTCTGAGATCCATATCTTGAAACT